TTGGTAGAGAGGCTGGGGATGATGGTTTCCATAGCAACCTGGGCAGGGAGTAGGGCTGGGGAGGCATTTTTAGACAAGCACTTCTCAAATTGTGATGTGTGGGTGAATCACGCAGACATCTTGTTGAAATGCAGATTCTGATTCAGTAGGTCTGGGCTGGTCCTGAGATCCTTCATTTCTAATAAGCTCCCAGGTGGTGTTTGTGCTGCCAGATGCCATTCCATGAGTAACAATCTTGACCATGGACAGCAGAATCTGAAACTTTGAGAAGACTCAGCAAGTGTTAAGTCCACCAAAACCCAAGGACTGGTACTTCAACTCCAGCCTCAGACTTGCCAGTGTAGAGGGAGAAAGGATGTCTTAACTGTCGAATCACCAGCACAAATTACGCAGAGCTGGATTTAATCATCTGTGCTAAATAGTACGACTTCAGCAAATTGCTAACCATTCCTAAGTCTCAGTTTTCCAAGCTCTAAAATGGGGCTATCACTTCATGGGAGGGTTGTAAAGACTAAAGGGGACAAAGCAGGAAAAGTGTTTAGTGCAGTTGTTCGTAGGCAGGAAGTGTTCCCCAAATGTAAACTGCCCTCCTGTCTCTGGTTTCTCTATTTGTCTCAAGCCTAAGATCAAACAACCTTTTCTGACAAACCAGCTTTTTAACCCAAAATACCAATTTTTTAAATTATGAAAATTAAAAATTGCTGTTGCATAGTTGTAAAATGTTATTTTAATTATAAAAAAGAAAATAAAGGCACCCATGTTCTCCCTACCTAGTGCACACAGTTGACATTTTGGTATATTTTCTGCCAGGCTTTTTATATGTATTTTATTTTACAACAAAAATGGGATCATATTCAATGCATCGTTTTCTAACCTGCTTTTCAATTTAAAAATATACCTGTGGTAGGTTTTCATGTCTTTAGGCAAGGATCACTGTTGTTATTTTAATGGCTGTACATTTCAAGCAGCCTTCTAAAGACGTGACTGAAGTCAAAATCCGCCTGCTCAATTCAGTTTACCCTTCAGGAAGGAATGTCCCGGGTTGTAGAATAGCATTCTGGAATCTTCCTCTTAGTTTCTGCAGGAGCCTGGGTCTCCAAACACCTCCACATGATCTAGCATGAAGGCTCTGATCCAAGGACAACCTGAGGCCAGGGACATCCAAGGAATTTGTAGTCCTGGATCTGCAGATCAAGTCACGGAACGAAAAATACTGAGTGAAGGAAACGCCCCAGGATGCAGGAGATAATGAATTCAACTCTGCAACCTCTTTTCCCAGCTGGCACCCAAATGCTTTAACCAGGTCTCCTTGAGAACGGCTCTTCATGACCCTTTCGTCCTGGAAGCTACTGTGGGGAGGAAGGCATTCATTTACTCATTCATTCCTTTAGTCAGGGAATATTTACTGAGCTCCTGCTATGTGCCAGACACTTTTCTGGGTCCTGGAATATTACGGTCAACACAATAAATAAGATTTCTGCTCTCACAGATGGTACATTAGAATTGGGGAGGTAGCATCCATCTAAGAGAAAACCAGGATAAGTCTAGCTGGCAGTAAGTGCAAGGAAGGGAATGAAACAGGGTAATGTGGTGGAGACTGACTGGGATCATTCGACAGACTAATCAAGGCAGGCTTCTCTGAGGAGGTGTCATTCCAGCTGAGCTGTGAAGGACATGAGGATTTCTTTTGAACCAAAGTCTGCCCCTGCTTCTGGAGCTACATCGCTGGGGACTTTCTCCTCCTGGCAGGGGCAAAGCCTTCAAGTGTTCCAAGTGTAGGGTGTGCCCTTTAGACCCTCAGTCTTCTCTTCTCCAGATAAGCATCCCCTGTTCTTTCAGCTGTTGCTCGTGTGACCCAGTTTAGCTCTGCTCAGAATCCTTCTGATCACTTGTGGATATCTGTCCATCTATCTATCTGTCTGCCTATCTATCTATCTATCTATCTATCTATCAAATCTGGTCCCCAGAATGAAACATTGTGTATGAGGTGTCCCAAAAGAGTTATATTATGCACTATGTACTGGACTCTGCATTTTTACTCATTCAGCTAAAGTAGTAAGAACTTTTATTTTTTTGGTTGGGTACATTGCATTGCTTTCTTAATTGAGCTTGCAGTCAAATAAACCACCCACGTCCTTTATACATCTTGTAACTTGTGCCCATGGGGTTTTGGAAAGTAAATGCATAGGCTAATGTTTATTTACATTAAATTCAGTTTGGTTAGATTTAGCCTGATTCTTCAAGCCAGTCTGGATATTTTTGTTTCCTGGTTCTGTCAGTCAATAGTTTTCATTCCTTCAGCAATTTATCAGGGAGACTAAATGAGATGAGAAACCCAGGTAAGAGATGATGGCACCTTGGTCTATGGTGGTAGGAATGGAAACAGAAAGATGAGGCTGGATTCAGGATATATGAAGTGGTCAGGAAGAGAGAGAGGAACCAAGCATAATTCCTGGGTTTGGGGCCTGAGAAATAGGACCAATACGGTACCACTAACTGAATGTTTTATGTTCCCCCCACCCCCCACCTCAATTCGTATGTTGAAACCCTTTCCCCCAATGGATGGTGTTAGGAGGTGAGGCCTGTGGGAGGTGATCAGGATGAGCTGAGGTCATGAGGATGGAGCCCTCAGGATGAGATTAGTGCCCTTATGAGAGTCATGAGAGGACTTGCTTCTGCTCTCTGCTGTGTGAGGGTACAGTGAGAAGTCGGCAGTCTGCATCCCAGGAGAGGGCCCTCCTCAGAACCCGAATGTGCTGGCACCTTGACTTGGACTTCCAGCCTCCAGAACTGCAAGAAAATCAGTGTCTATTTATAAGCTACCCAGTCGATATAGTACTTTGTTAGAGCATCCTGAGATGAATAAGACAGGTAAGGGGAATATTTGGGAGGAAAAATGATTTCACTCAGTGAGATTATAGTAATTTTTATTTTCTTCTTTATATTTTCTGTCTGTCCAAGTTTTTAACAATAATAGTTGGGGGCCATATTTGGGGGCAAGAAAGAGAAGACTGGGAAGTTTAGTTCTGATTGTTGAATTCAGAAGACGTGGAGGATGAGGCAGGCGCACTATATGTATGTGTACCACAGAACAGGCATTTTCCTTTTAAACCAAACTATAGAAACCAAATCTGTATTCCTTGCAAAAGCAGAGACTCAGAGGTGACCCTGTTGAGCTACACAAATTTCTGATGGGAATAGAAATGAAAGATGTTCCAAGCCTCTTTCAGCTTTTATCAAATACAAGAACCAGAGGGCATGATCCAAGCTAAGGAAGGATTGAGCCCTGAGGAGTTGTGGGAGAGTGTGTTAACCAGGGAGCAGTTAATCCTTGGAATATACTTATAGGAGGTAGCAATAAAATAGCACAAATGCTTTTAAAATAGATTTTATACTTAGAAAACAGAGAGCTGGGATAGAGGCATCATTTTTTATTGCCAAATTCTAGCCTCTGGTTCATTGTAGGACCTTTGCTGAGAGATTTTCCCTACAGTCAAAGAATCCTAGTATGTTAAAGGGAAAGGACGTCAGAGATCCATCCTGTGCAGGGGGCCTTAACAAGGGGTGCACATCAGAATCACTTGGTGAATCTTATTTTTCCCTAACACTTAATTATGTCAGGGTTTTGTTTCCTTAAATTTTGCTATTGGGTTTGGCCCATTATTTTGTTTTAAACTAATTAACTGATTAAAAAAATTTTATACAGTTTTTAAAGGTTACTTTGCATGTACAGTTATTACAAGATATTGACTATTTTTTCATGTTGTACAACACATCCTTAAGCCTGTCTTTACACCCAGTGGTTTGTGCCCTGCACTCCCCCACTCACCCCACATTGCCCCTCTCCCCATCCCTACTGGTGACCACTAGTTTGTTCTCTACTTCTGTGAGTCTGCCTCTTTTTTTGTTTTATGCACAAATTTGTTGTACTTTTTGGATTCCACATGTAAGTGATACAGTACAGTGTTTGTCTTTATCAGTTTGTCTGACTTACTTCATGTAGCATAATGCCCTCCAAGTCCAATCCATGTTGTTGCAACTGGCAAAATTTTGTTCTTTTTATGGCTGAGTAGTATTCCATTGTGTGTACATACTGCATCTTCTTATCCATGTATCTGTTGATGGATACTTAGGTTCCTTCTGTATTTTGGCAATTGTAAATAATGCTGCTGTGAGCATTGGGGGTGTATGTATCTTTTTGAATTAGTGTTTTAATTCTTTTTTCAGACATATACCCAGGAGTGAAATTGCTGGATCATACAGTAGTTCTATTTTTAGTTTTTTTTTTGAAACTACTGTATTGTTTTCCATAGTGGCTGCACCAATTTACATTCCCACCAATAGTGTACGAGGGTTCCCCTTTCTCCACATCCTCGCCAGCATTTGTTATCTGTGTTCTTTTTGATGACAGCTGTTCTGACAGGTGTGAGGTGATATCTCATTGTGGTATTGATATACATTTCCTTGATGATTAGTGATGTTGAGCTGAGCACATTATTTTGGAAAAGTTTCCTAGGTCATTTGATACATACTGCCTGTAAGGATCTCTGATCTGGTGTAACCTCCTCATTATATGGATGAAGAAACTAAAACATGGAGAGGTTAAGAGATTTGTTCACTGCTCACAGAAAAGGACAGAAATTGCCCTGGGAGTCACCTTGCTCAATAGAGAAAATATAATAACATAAGACCACTTAATCTCTTTATGTCATACTTCATTAAATAATTAACAGTTAACTAGACATAGTCATAACTGTATATCTGAAAAACAGAGTTGAGTAAAGAAGAAACAGAATGAGATTTATGTAAATTAAATGCATTTATATAAATTAAAACAACACATGATTCTATATTTTACAAACCTAGGTACATATATTAAGATCTACATCAAACGCATTAGCACGTGTGCCTGTTCGTGAAGGGACTTCTGGGGATGAAGAAATTAATAAAACCCAAGAGAAAGGCACATCTTGACTGATGACAAGCATGTGCTGTAGGGGGAGGGTATAGCTCAGCGGTAGAGTACACGCCTCACGTGCATGAGGTCCTGAGTTCAATCCCCAGTATCTCCATTAAAGTAAATAAATAAATAAAACAAATTACCTCCCCCCCAAAAAAACAACAAGAGTGTGGTATGAATTGAGGTACAAGATTTCTCAATTCTCTGCACTCAAATTATTAAAAAAAAATAAACCCATGATCAACATGATTATAGATGAGCAGATAAACAAAATGTGGTATGTACATATAATGGTATATCACTCAGCCATAAAAAGTAATGAAGTCCGACACATGCTACCACATGAATGAACCTTGAAGACAACATGCTAAGTGAAGTGAGCCAGACCAAATGGAGAAATATTGATTCCACTTAAATGAAACGTCCAAAATAGGCAAATGCATAGAGGTAGAAAGTAGATTAGAGGTTTCTAGGGGCTGAGGGGAGAAGGAATGGAGAGTTATTACTTAATGGTGATAGAGTTTCTGTTGGGAGTGATGAAAAAGTTTTGGAAATAGATAATGGTGATGGTTGCACAAACTTTGAATGTGATGAGTGCTACTAAACTGTACATCTGAAAATGGCAGATTTTGTGAAACATTTTTCCACAATTAAAATATTAACAATGTAATGTGCTGTGAACCATTGATTCTACACTTTAAGTGGGTGAACTGTATGACTTGTGAATTATATTCCAATAAAGCTATTGAAAGATTCACAAGCTTAACTTTCCTTTGCCTTTCATTCCTTCTATGGAAACAGGAGAACTTGAGAGGATGGGAAAGAACAGTTACTCAGCTCAGCAGGTGCAGCAATTAAATTCTCTAAGGTGCCGTAAATGTTTAGGGTATGGTTCTGTGTTGGACTTTTTGGGCGTCTTGACACGTTTCTGGCAATGCAAAGATTTAACAAGGTTTGGGAACTGGTAATTTGTTATATATGTAGTAGCTATTATTAAATAATTTGGGGTCTTCTTGGCCTAGGACATCGATGTCCATGCTGTTTGAACAAATGTGTGGACACATCTGCTTTCCCTGCATTTTTGCTTTTGGTAGCCAGTGACTTTGGCATGAGGACAGTGCGTGGCGTATATAAGATTTAATTTTTATGCAACAAGGGCCCTTGTAAAATGCAGTTGGGAAGGAACAGATACTTGAGGAGGCACCCATCACCTGTGCTGAAAACTTCACAGATCCCTTAAGTTTCTTATATTTGGGCCATTTCCTGTTTTCAGTCTTGAAAAGTTAATTGAGAAGAGAACTGTTTTATCTCTCAGACCTCTAGTCTCTGGAGAAAAGAGGGACAGCTGATAACTTTTTTTTTAATTGGAAAGAAAAGTTTAAGTGCACTCTTTCAGCTTGGAAATAAATTTTGATTTATATAGGTTAAGATCGATTCCTGCTTCATTTAAATTCTTTCTGTCCCATCTTAATTATATCCATGTGTCTCGCAGAAACCCATCTTCTGGCCGTGTGGAATTATCACTCCGTCCAGAAGTGTGGGTGAGGACTGCCACTGCCAGTGACTGACAAAAGCAAGAGCGTTTGTCCTACCGCCTTGCCCAGTGATAAGCTAGGGGCCCAGCTACCACTGGTCATTTGCATGCATAGTGGACCGTTTCATTAAGAATTTCATTAAGATGGTAATGTTTAATGTTTCCTGGGAAAAATGAGTTTTGGGCTTGTTCAATTATATAATTAAAGTCAGAGAATTAGGGGTGATTGCAAACTGCTTGCATAATGTGGGCAAATATAATGATAAAGCTTGTAAATAAGTTCAAAAGAATCATGCTCCGTACGAATGCTGTTGCTAAATCAGATTAGGGGGGTGGGCATATGGAAAATGTGGACTGAAAAGTTCACCAGAGTTTAACTCTGGTGTCTACTGGCTGAGCTCCTTGCTCTCTGGGCCCTCTCAGGGAGATAAATGGTAGAACAAAGTCAGAGCTGTGGACTGGTTAGTCAGGTTCTAGAAGGTTCCAGGAACATACTTCTTTATTTTTTCTATAGGCAGTGATTTCCTATATAGAAATGAAAAAAAAAAACCCACAAAAAACAGTGGCATAGGATTGCAAGCTTTCTTAAGTGGTAGCCAGGGTGTTTTTCTTTCCTTGCTTCTGTGATGACAGTCCTTGTCCTCTCCCTGCGTTTCTTCTGGCCTATAAAACAGGAAGTCCCACCATTTTGAAAGAATTAGGAAGGCTGTTTATGTTCTTTCTTCCAATCTCTTCACTTTTTTCTAAGGAAGGAAAAGTGATTCAGTGGTTCAGTGGGCTCAAGATAACTTTCCTGAAGAACTGGGGAGGTGGGAAAATTGAATACTGTAGCACTATGTGTGATTTGTATGTGAATATTAGACATGCCTGTTCCTGAGGAATATTCCCTAAGCCACATGTATCCACAGTGGTTCCAGCCCCCTCACCAATTCCTCTCCACCACTTTTCTCTAAAAAAATTTCTTTCACTTTATCATGCAGAGCGGTTATTATGCTTCTGAACTTTGCATAACCAAAGGCCCAGGAACTGTGCTCTTTCTCCCTTCACCACATCCCTCAAGGCCTTTGTCAGGAAGATAGGTTTAGTTCAGTCTGTGTGAATTTGGCTTACATATACGTGTTCCTGAAGCTTGGTGTGGCTGGGTCCTAGGGATTCTAACACAACAGTGGAGGGGCGAGAGAAATGTGTTATATGCTTGTCTCCGATCTCTGCTAACTTTTAAAAGCCAAGTATCAGTAATTACTCACTTTTTTTTTTGTAAAATATGTGTTTTCACTAATTCCAGGAACCTATTTTAAATAGAGAGCTTTAGAGTTCTGTAGGAATGCAAAAAGGACATACACTGATCTGACCTTCTGCTTCTTACGCTTTATTGGGACATGTCATGGGAATCAAAACTAAGAAAGTCTCAAAAAAAATTGGGGAAAAAAAAAAAAAACTAAGAAAGTCTCAAACCCAGTTTAAAGGGACCATTCAGACCACTGTGTAAGTCCCAGGTCTCCACTTCCATCTGTACTTCTATCTAAGTTCCTTGTGTGGAAATGTGGCGGTGACAGTTCCTACCCCCTAGGGCTCTGGAGAGGATTAAATGAGATAATGTATGTAAAACATGTAGCTGAGTAATTGATATTTCAACAAACTAGTTCTTATGATTACATTCTAAACAAGGTTTACATAAAAAGAGTACAAGAATGCCTCTTCCCACTGTACCCTTTATCAGTGCCCTTCTGGCTTTAATCTTATTCTATCACCAGAAGAACAAGGAGTTTTAACTTGCCGCTAATGCAGCCCTGCTCAACCACGGAGCCCAGCCAGTGGCCCTGCCTGACTGGAGCCCAGCGAGCAGACTTGCCCAACTGTAGAATCCAGCCAGTGACCCAGGCTAGCCTCAGAGCATGGGAAGTGGCCCTACTCAAACAGAGACCCTATCAGCAAGGCCAGTCCATTCAGAGATGCTACCAGTGGCCCATCCTGAACCCCAGACTGATGGGTTTCCCTGCCTAAGCAAACTTGTAAAGACTGGAAGAGGTGACCACTTCTTGAAATGCATAGACACCAAAGCAAAGACAGCCTAATGAATGGAAGAAGATATTTGCAAACAATATATCTAATGAAGGGTTAATATCCAAAATATATTATAAACTCATGCAATTCAATACCCCAAAATCAAGCAACCCAGTTGAAAAATGGGCAGAGACTCCTAATAGACTTTTTTCTGAAGAAGACATACAGGTGACCAACAGGCACATGAAAGGATGCTCAACATCACTAATCATCAGGGAAATGCAAATCAAAACCACAATGAGGTATCACATCACACTTGTCAGAATGACTATCATAAAAGTCTACATAACAAGCATTGGCAAAAATGTAGAGAAAAGGGAACCCTTGTGCTTTCTTGGTGGGGATGTAACTTGGAATAGGCACTATGGAAAACAGGATGGAGGTTCTTCAGAAAACTAAAAATAGAACTAGCATGTGA